TGCGACCTAAATTATGTTCAATGTACACTATATAAAAAATAAACTATGTAACTTGAGGGTAGGGATAGGTGGGGAAAAATCAGAAAGAACAAAGGAGGGGGAGACACTAACCTGAAACATCATACTCATAACCTGATTTATGGAACCCTAACTGCTTTGTGCAACTACTTAATAGTAACAACTAAAAAAACAACAACAACAAAAAAAAAACAAACCTCTTAAAAATATGTGTAAAGCTGGGCACTGGAGGCTCACGCCTGTAATCCTAGCTACTCAAGGAGGCTGAAATCTGAGGATTGTGGTTCAAAGCCAGCCTGGGCAGGAAAGTCTGTGAGACTCTTATCACCAATTAACCACCAGAAAAACCTTAAGTGGTGCTGTGGCTCAAGTGGTAGCACCCAGGCCCAGAGTTCAAGCCCCATGACCAAAAAAAAAAATGTATGTTAATATATTATCTCTGCTCTACAATGTACCTTATTTAGCTTCTGGCTAATATGAAATGTGTAACAAATAGCCTAAGTTAATTAAATGTAGAAAGTGCTTATTCCAGCTCTGTTTTCTCTACCTTCCAGAGACTTTATAGTCAATGCCAGATTTTTTCCCTGCTTGATCCCTGATATCAGCCAACCAACATTACAGGAGGAAGAGCTAATAAACACAGGTGTGCACTCTTTGAGGACAGGGCTATGTTGCTCCATTTTATCTCCCCAACATTCAGCTAAGAGCTGAGCCCCAAGGGGACCTGAGCAACCATAGGCCACCCGTGAGAGAAGGGTTGTGCTCCCCACTGGCACACGTGGGAGAAGAAAGGTAATACAGTAGCGAAGGCAAAGTGCTGTCCCTGAGGACTGGTCCAGGAGTGCTTGTCAACCCAGAGGGCTCACCTTATTATCTCTGTACTTTAAAAGGCAGATGACTGGCTGCAAACACAACTAGGATGGTCACATACATCCTGTCTCTGTCTGTGGTGCTGGACACCATCTGTTCTGGCTGGAGAGAAACTATTTCTTGTGGAGAAGACTGCTTGTGAGGTCAACAGCAGTCTCAGACACTTAAGGCCTGTGCAGATGGCCAAGGTATCTGTTGGCCTCATAATAAAGAGGCCATAGAAACCCAACCTGGGAGAGTTGGGGCAGAACTTTACCAGAGTCTGTGTGTCATATAACATAATCCCAGGTACCAAGGAACTTCTCATTCCAAGGCTCAGCGTCCCCCACAACTTCCTCTCACAAACTCTCATCTCTGCAAACTCCCTGCTGGCTGGATGCAATTCCCATGCAACGCGCTGGGGAAATCATGACCTAGAGGGTCAGGTAGGTTCCACGTCCAAAGGTGGAAGGGAATAAAGACAGGAAAAAGGAACAATGGGGGAAACGATGGCTTTATTAGTGGAAGAACTTTCTACTCCCTGCGTTTCTGCCTCTCTAAAATGACAGGCTGATATATTTTCTCATGACTCTGACTTATGGCTTTTGATGAGGTTCGTGAGGTTAGGAAATAAAAGCTGTGTTGTATCCCATCTCTCATTTTTAAGTGGTGCTTATCCTTCCAAGGACAGTGGGATTTATGACCTCAAATGGCAGAATGATATATTATGAAGCTCAAGATGCTCTTAAAGAAGGAAACAGGCTGGTGAAAGCCCAGAGGCCAGCGGCCTATAATCCCCAAAAATCTAACAGTGAAGATTCAGTAGCAGTGCATTCACGTCTTATTCAGGAATACCCATAGAGCAAAGTCGTGTCACCAACCAATGTGAAAATAAAATTCACAACTCATCCGCTAGGGTCAGTCAAGGCAATCTCACTCTCCTGACTCCCATGCCAGTTCCGCCCTCTGCAAAGCAATAGAAAAGACTCAGAGGTCTTCCCAAAAGAAATCAGAAGATTAACTTTTTATGGAAGAATTTGGTACAGAATCTCCCTAAACTGTAATTTCCCTGGTTCATTTCAAATATAGCTTTATTTATACCATTTGTTTAGTATTTTGGATGTGTCTCTTGGAAATGAAGAAATCAGTACTAGGGAGAAAGCCAGTCAGTGCTGATGTTCAGGGTACACCCTTGTTTCTGATTATTCCCCAAATGGCCATAGTTTGGAAAGGATGGCTTATAAACTGTCCTTGTTGATCAAAAATCTCTCATTCTCTCCACAACCCTGTGAGTCAGGATTGTTAAAAGCACTCTGTATTATATAATTTACATATATAGCCAAATGCAGCAGTGGTACCCACTAGACACTATGTTGAAAATGAACTATACAACTTATGGGTAGGGATGAGAAGTAAAAACATCAAATGAGCAAGGGAGGGGGTAACACTGTCCAAAAAGAAATGCACTCATTCCCCGAGTTTTGTAACTGTAACCCCTCTGTACATCACCTTTATAATAGCAACAAAAAAAAGGGCTGGGCAGGTGGCTCAGTGGTAGAGCGCTTGCCTTGCATTCCTGCGGCCCTGGGTTCGATTCCTCAGCACCACATAAGCAAAAAGAAAAAAGCCAGAAGTGGCGCTGTGGCTCAAGTGGTAGAGTGCTAGCCTTGAGTTGAAGAGCTGAGGGACAGCGCCCAGGCCCAGAGTTCAGGCCCCATGACCGGACCAAAAAAAACAAAAAACAAAAAAGATATAAACTAAATCACATTTCCCAAAGGTTCCTACAAAGCCAAGGTCATATCTCCTTACTCAATGACAGCATCTGGCAGATCATATTCCAAATCATGTAACAAGAGATGTAGAAAAGAGCCAGGAGCTGGCGCTCATGTCAGTAACCCTAGCTACTCAGGAGGCTGAGATCTGAGGATTGACTGGGCAGGAAAGTCCATGAGATTTTCATCTGCAATCAACTATCAGAAAGGCCAGAAGTGAAGCTGTGGCTCAAGGGATAGAGAACTAGCCTTGAGCAAAAGAAGCTCGGGAACAGTGTTCAGGCCCTGAGTTCGAGCCCTATGACTGACCAAAAGAAAAGAAAGAAAGAGAAATATAGAGAGGCAATGACCAGTAAAAGGGGCTGGCAGCTAGGTGTCACCTGTTCCAACCAGGGAACATCACAGGACTTCCTTCCTGCAAAGGCAGAGGGAGAATTCAGAACATAAATTATCTTGAACTACAATATTTTAATCAAGCTGAAGGAGACAGTCTTTTAGTTAATAAACGCCAGCTCTCAGCATATTTCAATTCAGTTGGGGGGGGGCTCATCTGAAGGGGTGCTATTCAACAGCAGGCTCTAGAGCAGACTGGGTGGAGGGAGAGAAGACCAGGGCCAGAAGGCAGGTGAGAGGAAGTGAAGATGCAGAGTTTTGCAATACCTGCAGCTCCTGGTGCACAGCATTTTAGGAACAACTGTGTATTATAGAATACACCAAGGATCTTCCACCCTTACTACTACTAACACAGAAACAAAAATGGGGGAAAGGAAATTTCTATCTGTAAGTTTTATATCTGTAAATATAACACATATAATCCTTTCCTTACTAAGTGTGCAAAGTTAACGGCAAGGTATTCATTTAAATAAATTTACCTTATTAAAAGAGATTATTTCTAAGGAGTGGCTCTTTTTATAGGGAGAAATGTGCAGAGCAGGGTTAGAGCAAAAAGAGGTAGAAAGTTCTTTTCCTTTTTACATCTTTTATGCCAAATTAACTTTGAATAATATGAGACACCACCTGCTCAATACATATGCATTGATTTTGAATACATTTTATTAAAAAAAACCTAGGAAGTTTAAAAAGTTAATGGTACTCCTGAGTAAGTGACACAACAAGTACTGAATAATTCAAATTCAATTCCAGGAAAAACCACCATTCTAGACCAGTAAAATAAAGCCTTAATTCCTGGGCTTGAAGAACCGAGCTTTACCTTTTCTCCATCATTCTGTCAGATAATGTTGATGATGGATAACTATGATGACTGTTTCTCCTTACTGAACACAGACTGTGTGCGACGCACTGTTCTAAGTACTATTATAATACTTCCCACCATTGCTATCATCATGATGGTCTAATAAGCCTTTATTTGAAAATACTCACCATCTTAGCTAGAAAATAGCTTGGTAAAATTGAAAGTTGGCAAGAATATGCATGCACATCTGTATTATAATCATATTGCTTTCCATGCAGTGGAAAATGCTAAGTGTTTCACAGAAGTGTCCCAGGGCTACACTGAGACCCAACAATTATCTCTCTGTTGGTCAGTCTGTTCTACCTAGAGAAACTTACCAAGAGAGATTCAATTCTGCTTTGGTGTCCCTCTCCTGGTGGAGTGTCTCCTTACTTTCTTTTATAGCTTTCTTTTTACTTTCTTTTTTTAAACATAAATTTATTTTAAAGGTGATGTACAGAGGGATGATAGTTACATAATTCAGGTAATGAGTACGTTTCCTTTAGAACAGCATCACCCCCTCCAGCATTTTCTCCCAGTTTTTCCCCTCCCACCCTCCTCTCAAGGTGTATAGTTCATTTCTAACATAGTGCCTAGTGGGTTTCACTGCTGAATTGGTTCACCCTTGGTCCCACCATTTCTGTGCTTCTCCTTCCCCTCCCCAAGTCAGATAAACCTATATAAACGAGACAAAGGGCATAGAAATTAAAAACAACAACAACAACAACAGTGACAGAAGGGAATAAACCAAAGAAAAAAGGAAAGAAGGGGGAAAAAAAAAGAACTACCATCAGTACAATAAAAAAACTTCTTGCTTCCATTTCCTGGAGTTCATTTTGATAAGCATCATTTTATATGATCATATGCACATAGCTATTGAGCCCTCATGATCCTCTCTTAAGAATATCCTTCTTTGTTCTCACAGTGTGAACGTTTAGACGGTACTTTTGGGCCTTTTAATTCTTTAATGGGTGGAAAAATGAATGCGCACTCCTAATCTGCATCAGTGTGGTGGCACCTGCCTATAATTGCAGCGCTTGAGAGGCTGAGGCAGGAAGATTGTTTGAGGCCAGCCTGGGCTGCTACATAGAGAGATGGTGTCTAAAAAAACAAGACAAAATTAAACTTACCAAGGGTGTGTCCTTTCCTCCTACTATGCTGAGACCAAGCCCGGAGCGTCCTTTGGATATTTCTATAATCATCTCCTGGCCAGGGACAATGGGACATGTGGCAGGGTCCACTGACAGAGGAGCCTGGAAGCCACCTGGAAAGGGAATGAACATGGAATGACCGATTGGCCAGGAGGAGGCAGCTCAGCTTGCACACTCTGTGACCAGGGTGTGTGTGGGGTTATGTGTGTTTCATTTCACTTTTTTCCTGCCAAGCCTTATAATGGAAAAAGCTGGGTCATTACTGCCCCTTCACCCAGGGATGAAAATGTCATTCCTACACTAAAAGACTAATTCCATCAGGGCACCAGTGGCTGGTACCTGTAATCCTAGCTACTTAGGAGGCTGAGATCTGAGGATTGAGGTTAAAACCAGCTTATGCAGAAAAGTCCATTTGATTCTTATCTGCTAGTAGACACTAAAATGTCAGACTTAGTGGTATGCTCAAGTAGTAGAGTGCCAGCCATGAGTGAAAAAGCCATGTTGTAAGTGCAAAGCCCCAAGTTGAAGCCCCCAGTACCAGCACGCGCGCGCACACACGTGCGCGCGCGCACACACACACACACACACACACACACACAACATAAACAAAAACAAAACACCTTTCCCATCCCTCAATCAGTTGTATATATACTTAAAATATGTTTACTCTTAAAACATATCATGAAAACCAACATGGGAAAGTTTAAGATGAAAAAATATTTAGTGTCAGAGAAGCACATGTTACAATCAGAATAAAGGCTGCTATGACAAAAGATTTTGCATTATAAAATACCAATTAAAGAAAGAGTGCTTAGAGCCAGGCACCAGTGGCTCACAGCTCTAATCCTAGCTTCTCAGGAGGCTGAGGTCTAAGGACTGTGGTTCAAAATCAGCCTGGGCAAGAAAACCTGTGGGACTTTTATTTCTAATTAACCATTGCCTCCTCCACTCTTCAAAAAAGCTCGAAGTCGGGCTGGGAAGGTGGCTCAGTGGTAGAGCGCTTGCCTTGCATGCATGAGGCCCTGGGTTCGATTCCTTAGCACCACATAAGCAAAAAAAAAAAAAAGCCGGAAGTGGCGAGTGTGGCTCAAGTGGTAGAGCGCTAGGCTTGAGCTGAAGAGCTGAGGGACAGCGCCCAGGCCCAGAGTTCAGGCCCCACCACCGGACCCCCCCCCCAAAAAAAAAGAAAAAAAAAGCTGGAAGTCGATTTGTGGCTCAAATGGACAGAAAAGCTAAGGGACAGTGTCTGGGCCAAGAGTTCAAATCCCATAACTGACACTTAAAAAAAAAGTTACTGATGCTTCATAAAGATTTTTTTTTGCTGGTCATGGGGCCTTAATCCTGGTCCTGGACACTGTACCTCAGCTCTTCAGCTCAAGGCGAGCATTCAACCACTTGAACCACTGCACCACTTTCAGCTTTTTCTGCTTATGTAGTGCTAAGGAATCTAACCTAGGGCATGCAAGGCAAGCGCTCTACCACTGAGCCACCTTCTCAGCCCCATAAAGACTTTTTTTTGAACATCATTTTAGAAAAGATTTTTTTTTAAGGTTCTGGGGCTTGAGCTCAGGGCCTGGATGCTGTCCCTGGGCCTCTCTGTGCTCCAGGCTAGCACTTGAGCCACAGAGCCACGTCTAGAGTAGGTTATTGGAGATAAGACTCTCATGAACTTTCCTGCCCTGACTGGCTTTGAATTGTGACCCTCAAATCTCAGCCTCCTGAGTAGCTAGGATTACAGGGGTTAGTCAGCAGTGCCTGGTTGTAGATTCATTTTTTAAAAACAGATTTTTATTAGCATACACTAGTTGTACAAAGTTTTTTGGTGACATTTCCATACACGCATATGGTGTGCTCCATTCCCTTCACCTCTATCCCTTCTTCCTCATGTCCACTTCCCTCCCCCGATATAATCTCAACAGACTCACTGTTCTATTTTCATGCAAGCATAGGAAGTACTTTCACCACATTCATCCTCAGTTTCCCTGCTGATAACCCTACCCTCATTTATTATTTTTTTAGTGTATATTAATTGTGCCAAGGAGTTTTACCATGGTATTTTCACATACATATATTCTATTTTAATCAGAATAACCTCCTCTATTGCTCTTGCCTACCTCTTGCCTCCCTATTGTTTAGCAGCTTTAAGTAAAATTTCTTTCTTTCTTTTTTTCTTTCTGACAGTCGTGGGGCTTGAACTCTGGGCTTGGGTGCTATCCCTCAGCTCTTCAGCTCAAGGTAAGCACTCTAACACTTGAGCCACAGTGCCACTTCTGGTTTTCTAGTGGTTTATTGGAGATAAGAGTCTCACGGACTTTCCTGCACAGGCTGACTTTGAACTGAGATCCTCAGATCTCAGCCTCCTGAGTAGCGAGGATGACAGGTGTGAGCCACCGGTGCCAGGCTCAGTGAAATTTTTTATGCCATCTTCAAATTAGAATAGTTTTTTTTAAAACCTGAAAGGGGAAAAAAAATTATAGGCTAAGAAAAAAAAGGGTGTACTAGCATTCATTTACCTATTTCCACATATGTGCGTTTTTCACAACTAGACCTAACTTATTAAAAAATAAAGGCATTTAAAATATTAAGTAGTCTCAAGAGACTTGTACACAGACAGGACTCTCCAAAGAATATCATCTCTTCTGGTAACTAAATTTGAACTAAATTCTTACTCAGAGTGAAAGGCTGATGACACAGAGCCCCACCTACTGGCCAACTGAAGCTAATGCATGGAAGTCACCATGGGCAATAGCAGAGGTTGGCCGACTAGAGCCCCTGGTTTCTACATTTCCTTTTTTGCTTGGTTACTTTTTCTTTTCTTTTCTTTCTTCCTTCCTTCCTTTCCTCCTTTTTCTCTTTCCTTCCTTCCTTCCTTCCTTCCTTCCTTCCTTCCT